TGCAACTATCATAGGCAGCGAGGTGATCGTTCAATGAATGTCATGCGCCGCTCTTCCGTGTGGCGGCATATATCTGAAGTCCATTTAATGTATCGGAGGAATAACTAGACAGGAACTGTGTTTTACTCTAGCCTGCCATGACTTGATCTTAAGCCCGGTACAACTTACCTGAATTTTCTACAATGAAATCACTGTACTAATTGTACTAATATATGATGAGTACACCTTCAACAGGTGGATTGCGACGGACGATCCATACCTATACATAGCTTGGTATTCCATCCTCACATTTCGCTAATGCATAGGTAGAACTGGTTCGAAACAATAAAACTAGATTTCATTTTGTCATGCGAATATATATACATGACGGTAACATGGTTTGTGCCCTAGAAATAGTCCACTCCTTCTCCTTCTCCTGCCCTCGTCATTCGATCTTCATGGCATGCTCCTCATCCGTTATTTTATGACAGCTAGTGCACGGTAGCCGTTGTGTTTCTGTGCCAGTTCAAAATAATTTGAGTGAGTCATTGTGTAAGTAGTGAGAACCGAGGAAACATTTGCTTAATTGAAAGCAGATAATTTGTTCCGGGCGCAAGCCCCGATAGCGACCTCTACCTGTGCAAAGCGAGCCGAGGTGAGCTGCGATTCCTATACTAGTAGGGACAGATGCAACGCAGTAAAGTGAACCTCAGATTCCCAACTCGTAGGAGCTGCAAAGCGATGCATAGAGGTGAGGCTAGATGAGGAGACAGTTAGTAACAAGAGCAGTAAGTAAGAGCGTCCGCATGAGCATAAGTGCGGACATCTATGGGATATATATCACCAAGAGCCTGGATAGTTCTAGCCACGGTACCGTACTTGTAGGATCGACGGACACTGCCTAGCCGTACACGATTCTTCGAATTCTGTTTCCGAGATCGTCAAGCCTCGATCTGCGGTCGATCCTGCCACCGTGCTTCTGTTCTGCCGCGGCGATCCATCTTTGATATGAATTCTCGTTAGACGAACGATTTATTGAATGTGCATAGAAGCCCTCACCTCCGGTCGTCGTATATGAAGTTGCATCCACAGATGGTTGTACACGGTATTTGGCACCACCTTGTTCTGCGTTCGTTGACGAAAGTCAAGAGTGTATCTCCACACCATGCGCAAAACTTTGGGTCTGTTGTGAAATCCAGTGCGGTCCTGGAGAGTCAGTCACTGCTGAACCGATTATGACGTGGGTATCGCATGACCGTCCTCGACGGAAGCTGCTGTTCTAAACGGCATTAAGTATTAGGCAAAACAATTTTGAACATTGACCAAATTCGTTGTAGAGACGCTCGAGGTTGGAAACAAACTTAATTATAAGGTTGTTGTTCCATTTGTATTTGGTGTCTAGTTCAGTTACCGATCCAGGTATTACTAATCAGACAACTTTCGCCGCGAGAAACTCAATGCATCGCTGTAAAATTAGAGTGGCTGTACACTAAGGTTTTGTAGCTTATGTAAATTCAAGTGAACGCACACCTCTTGAGACTTCACCATCATCTGGTCGACAAGGTGTAGCGATGAGTGAATGGCAACTTGATAGAATTCCTGATCCTTATATCCGCATGCAAAACCGCTTTCGCCCGACATGTCATGGCTATGATTCCCTGTTTCCCGTCTGCCCGCATGGACAAAAAGGATGAGCCTAGAGCACCAATAACAACAAAACTGCTGGCAAACATGCTTGTTAGGCTTTAGCGCGGGATGCGATCACGTCATCACCGGCACCATGGATCTGCACGCCAGCCAAACGCAAGGATTTTTGACATTCCAGTAGACAACCTTTTCTCAGAGCCTTTGATGGTATCGTACATCAAGAGGCACATCGATGAGTGGCAAAATGGTATTGCCGTCAGTCCAGATGCCGGTGGAGTCGAGAGGTCCGTGTCATTTTGTTTTTGGGGATTGACGCCAGTTTCACTGCTCAGCTGCGGATAGGATCACTGCAATGGCAGACAAACTCAGCATTGAATTCGCCCTTATACACCGGAAATGTGATGGGAATCTCAAAATGCTTCGGAGCTCATGGAGTTCTGGTAGGAGATGTTCGAGGTAAGGAGTCTTATAGTCCGCCCGCGACTTTCTTGACGATTACCCCAGGTGGTTATTTTGGTGGATGATATGATAGATACTAACCACATGCTCATACTCGCTGCTCGGACGTTTCATGAGAAAGGCGCCAAAACGACTCGCGTTCTTATTTCGCATGGTGCGTATCATGTAGAATGGAATTGCCAATCGCCTGATGACGATCCCTGAAGGACTCTTCGCAGAAGTCCACATGGCTTCTTTGAACAGCCTTCTTATAGAGCAGCGTGTGGTAAGTTGTTCATGATTTTCGTTGTGCTGCTAATGTGCATTGTAGGTCACAAATACCATTCCCCAAAACGAGCACAAGGAACAATTTTCGAAGTTGTGACCCTCGCCTCGCTTATCGGCGTAACATTTGGAGCACCTGTCGTCGCATTCGAAGCATCCTCCGATAAATTGGCTGCGACGCGTTTGTATCTGCTTTCTCCAGTCAGTTTAAGTCTTCTTTATCACAATCGTTCTCAAATACTGATCCCTTGGATGACATGCAGCCCTCGACACAACACATCACCCACGTCTTCCGCACAATTGATCCTATCCCAGCGGACATCTGTACCAGTGTTGCCTTGTCTTGTGGCATCATAGGCTATACCATGGAGACACTGCCATCTGTGCAAGGTCATCCGCTACGATACCTTCACTCACCTTGGGTGGTCTGTTGATATACGGACGCACTCAACTGTTCAAATCGGATGACTGAACTCAGGAAGGGCAGGACGGACACTTCGATAGAGACCGTAGATTATAGTAAGACTTATCAGCAGGTGACTTGAATCATACGGCATGCAACCACCATCTTCAATGCAGATTGCTGAGGGTCTGAGACATTCATTAAATAATTTGATTGCAAATCGTTCACATCCGAGCCGCGAAGTTATCATTTCAAATGAAGTCACATGTCGTGCCGGCGCTGTATTCAACAGAAATAAGGGGTCCAATATATTTCATACACAAAACCAAGTGACTAATTAGACGTGATTGTGCAACCCCAAACCCGTCGCGACGAAGACATAAGTAGAAACAAGAACAAAATAGTATCTACCAGCACAAGGAGATAGATGATAAACCAAGGCGAAACGTCCCCGGCGGAGGACATGCAAGCAACACGCAACCAAAACGAAACAAGACATTGTCTTTTACCCTAACAGGCTGGTGCACTGCACTTTCCTGTTCGCCAGGGGGACGACTTTGACGGAGTTTTCTCACCGCGTACCGTGCCCGGCATATGTGCATAAAATAATCTCAAACGATTAGACGCATAGTAGTAAGCTGTGTCACGACTCAACTAAATTATCAGGTGAACTATAATACAGACCTTCTCAGCGACTTGGCCAACAGTTCTGAATAAGGAACTTCACGGCGCTATGTGTCGCATCAAAAGACCCTGGTACTAGTTGATGCGTGCTATCGGGCTAAGCTAGACGTATTCGTGTGTTGTTACCGGCAAGATGAATACTTGCGTTAGTCTGTCGCCAACCCTTATTTAGCACACTGAGAGAGGACCATCGAGATGTTACGTACATCGAGTAGCAAGTGACCAGCTGTAGACGTTCCCACTGACGGTTCTAGCTCGTTGTCCGTAACCTGGTGAACATGAGTGTGTCAATGATCGCCTTGGAGGATATTTTAATTTAGAGACTTACATTGATATCTCCAAACAGCGCCCGAAGATCCCAGATATACAGATTCTTGTCGATACCATTAGTGGCGAGCGCTCCCACCTTTCGAGCAGGTAATGGTCATCGTTGAGGTTCACTCTAGCGTCTCATTTGCATGATGAAGAAAACAGATAGTTAAACTTGAATGGTGGGGACTACGACATAGTGTGTACAAGTTTAAGGGTAGATGTCTGAAGAGAGATTACGGGCGAAGGCGCGCAGCGCCTCCCGGCTCCGAAGGGACTTTGTCCTGGGGGACAAAAGGTGAGCTGCGAGGGCAGGTGGGCCGCCTCGCTGCATATGGTTGGTTGTCCTTTCAGGGCCAAGAGTGTTTGGGGGCGCCAGCGAGGCGCTGGAATCGTGCGGAAGCGTGATGAGAAGGGAGAGGAGTGTGGGGAAAAGAAAACGCTGTGTCAACGAAGTGCACGGGGTGAACTGTTCGTCATGGTGAAGAAGCAAGATGCGCAAAAGCTCCGCTTGCCGCTCGCTCAAAGACTTAGCTCTATTGCCTCCGGTCGTGCCTCGCTACGTACATAGACTACTGCCACGGATGAACTCTGCAGGTAGAAAAAGTTGAGAGACAAATACAATTGGACCTTGTGCGCAACACCTAACGTAGTTTCCTGACCAGTGGCCCGAGTTACACAGCAGCAGCCTAGCTGTGTACTACAAGAGGGGCTGATTTGACTTGTCCAAGTTGCGTGCGCTGCTGCCCCAATTCATCACAACTACTGGCAGTGCCGCAGAACAGTGTCCATGTCAGGCTGTGCTTCGAGGGAAAATGCCATACAGCACCCACCAGCAAATTCAAATCAACTATTTTTGTTTCTTGTCCATCCTGCCACGTGCTCCTAGTACATATAGAGAAATAATATTTCAGAAATGATTAGAAGCAAATTTAGGATTGCCTTAGCGAATGGAAACATAGAACGTGACAGTATGTAAAAACTCGGAGACAAGTTAGAACCAGCTCCGATTCAGCCGCGGCCTTGAATGTTGTAGTTTGTAAGTGGCTCTAGCCTCTAGGAACGATTGACCCCACCTTGCCCCATGAGGTTTTTCTCGATAACTTGTTCGTGGGGCGAATAAACACCATTTGATGCAGCGAGGGTAATAGCTGAGCTTATGTAATCATGAACGCTTAATTATTTCATAACGCGCAGCAACACAGCATTGTGCACCCGCGGCGGTATCTCGTGCTTAAAGTTATTTGACACTGTACAAAAATCGTGAACAAGGTTCCTGTTGATGTCGATGAAGCTCCGCCCCATTCTATGTGATTGATGGTGACCCTACCCGTGCAAGACAAGTGATAGTCGCATAAATATACCCCCCCGGCGAAAATGACTGAGAATTTGGAAATCCGACAGAATTCACTGCAGAAAAAGTCAGTAGCAAATCTTTCATCGACACCGAACTCAGAAATGAACGGTAGATTATCGTAGCAGCGCGAGAGCCGCGACTGGCCTATCAAAGGACCAGTTTGTATACATACTGCCGTTCCTGGGGACAACTATCGAGAACGCGGGTTGTATGCTCGTGAGCTTGTTCACAAACATATTGCCAGGCTGCAATGAAAGTCACGAGAAAAGAGAGAGAGTACCAACACACCGAAGCAGCAGGAAAAACTGGGGGACGAAAGGGAGACGAGTAGAAGGGCGGAAGGGGAGCATTGAAGTGAGTGAGGAAGTGTGGTCTTATGTGACAAACCATGTGTTACGTCGACTGTAGGTCGGCGTGTGCGAACTAGGATAGGTCTTCTCAGCGACGACTCGAGTGAGTCTACTGAAGCTGAGCGTGGTCTAGCCTTGACGAATGTCAAGGATTCCTCCGGCGATCTCGGTAAGACGGCGCTCGTCGAGATGCAGGCTAGCGGATACGTGCAAAGTCGTATGGGAGCGGCTTTTGAAGTGCGGTCTCACACAAGGAAGCTTGTTAGGCTTAGATGAGCAAGTTCTGTGGTAGAACCTAGTAGATTAAAGTGAAGTATAATCTACAACAAGTGTCTACTTATACATAGTGTAGTAGGTTCAAGCTCAGTCTATAATCTATAGTATACGCTAATCTAAGATAGCTAGACATGAGGTTAGATAAAGTACATGAGGCTTAGCCTCTGATCATACATGCAGCGCCAAGTGCGACTGCGCAATCAACAGGAGGCGTGTGGAAGCGCTCGGGTTTCCTACATGAGGCGCCAAGGCGCTCCGGATCTTCATGAAGCGACATGCTGTATACATGCGCTGATCTAGGGTGACCATGAGGCGTACAGCCTCCATGGATCAGGTACAAGGCCGTCTAGGCCAGGGGCGGGGTATAGCATCAGGCGAGGTCATAGCGCCATGAGGCAGGGTCATAGCGGTCCAGACCGCTGTCT